AATGAAACTTGCATATTAGATTAAAATATAATACTATTTTATTATTGCGTTATATGAAAGTATGTTTGTTCTACTTACCATTTCCTTAATTCTTTAGCTAGTTGTATTTTTGGGTTGATACATATTATTGATATAATTTGCGATATGCTTGTCTTCCCTACAAAATTAAAATAATTATAGGATGAATTTTATGTTTAGCTGTCTTTAATAAGAATTTCAGTAATAAATTGTGTACCTTTATATATAGAGATTTTAAAATCTGATAATGCTATTACTGGCTTATCTTTAATTTTGGCTTCAAGAATTGATCCTTCATTTGTAGCCAAATCCCCGAATAAAGTTGTGTGCATGGTCATTCCACTGTATATGAAAAAAGAAAGTACGCTAATCTTATTTTTTTTCTTATGATATTGGAAATAAGTATCATGAATATACCTTTTATCTATTAGTGTTATTTTCCTCCTATTGTCTGGTTTGTTATGTTTTGTAATATAGTTTATCATCGGCTTCATGTTTGTTGTTATTGTAAGAATATCTGTAAGTAATTTTATAAAAAAATTATGATTCTATAAATTAACGTCTCATTTTGTATTGAAAGATTAAAGTAAGAAATTTATAAGTACTTACTAATTTTTGTTGCATCTTTCATGGAAAATGCTTCTTTAAATAAGACAAAGTTGTTCAATATGTTCTCCAAATGAAAACTTGTTGGTGCTTCTTTGATAGATACGCTATTTTTTAATACTAATTCATGTGACTTGTGGATACTTGGAAAAGCTGGGTTTATTCCTTTCACTTCTCCATTTGAATGAAAATAATTTGATTCTTTCGAAGCATATCTATAAACTTTTCGATAGTCTCTCTGTACGTAACTCCTTGTATTTTGTTACCCTCCAAATATTATTAACACCAAAGATAAATGTTTGGAAAATATAATTAATTAATACTAAGCTATATATTATATTTTAATTAGTTATATGTAAACAGAAAAATAACATAAAAAGGCATTCTGAAAGTTATTAGGGTTTTAATGAAATTTACCGAATAGATAATGACAATCACAAAAAAATACAAGCTGAATTATAAACGCTGATCTTATGACAATAACAAAAAAATGCAATATTTTCTCATTTTTCTTCTATTACAGACAAACTTTCATAACCCAAGCGACAATATTTATCTTCAGAACTATGCTTGGAGGCTCTAGTATAATATCTAAAGCCAATTCTATATCAAACTTCAGAACAGTGGTAATCACCACATTTTTAAATTCTCTAACAATTTTATATCTCTTTGCATAAGTAATGGATGGACTTATGTATTCTCAAGGTAGGATCTCATGATATATGTTGTCAGTTAATGGCACTATACTAATTGATGAGAGAAGACCTCGTATTAAAAGATTCCAAATTAATATAATGAAAATAAAATGTATAGAATGTATGTTAGCAAAACAGTATGAAGGAGTGCATGACGTAAAGATAAAAGTTATGTTAGTCTAATTAATCAAACGTTAGATACTATTGTATCATCGGAATACTTTCATATGTTACCTTTTGAAAGTTTTAGTGATCATGTTTCTTCAGTTGATAATTGTATCATCGGAATACTTTCATATGTTACCTTTTGAAAGTTTTAGTGATCATGTTTCTTCAGTTGATATTATTTCTTGAGTTTTGAAAAGTATTTTGAAAGTTTTAGTGATCATGTTTCTTCAGTTGATATTATTTCTTGAGTTTTGAAAAGTATACACCGTTTTCTGTATGTAGTCTCATGATTGTGCTTTCCTTGATCTTACAATTTTTTGAGCATACACCAATTTTAATTTGTTGATATCATATATTTTTGAAATCTTGTGCAAGTATCAAAACTCTTAAGAGAACCTGGCATATTCATGTAGACTCCAAAACTGAATTTTTCATATTTATGTGTTTGTGATTTTCTTCTGTATTTTTACAGAATGAAAGACAAGAGACATATTGGTCTATATTAATCTTACATACAAATTTCATGATTATTAAATTTAGAAAACTTTGCATGGGAAGTAATCGAAATCATTATCCAATAAAATAGTGCTGACAACATGTTACTTTTCCATGAGGATAACTACTGGTGATACAAAACTGAAGTTGATTAGTTCAATGGATAAAGGATTCAAATAATGGAAGATTAAGATAATGAATAATAAAAATAGAGGACCAACAGATTTCCTTCCGAGAACTATTAAATAGAATTTACGCTATCACAAATACAAATCACAATATGCATGAAACTTTTAAAAAATTACAATTTTATTTCCCCTACTATCAGGCCGACTTTTATAAACAATTATAATTAATTACATTAAAATAATCTAATCTAATCTAATAAGAAGAAAATTGATGAAAGTGTTGTAAAAATTTTTGTAATTAGATACCATGATTAATTGACTAAAATAAGAAGAACAATATTTAATCTAGTTCATAATTTTTAAACAATATAATCTAATTCTAATAAGAAGAAAATAACAAAGATAAAAAGTCATCATTATTAAATAAAAAAGAGAGACACCAAGACCGAACCTTTGAGAGAGAACAGTTGATAATTGCTTCAAAGTCTGAGAAATATTTGGTGAGAAAAGAAAGTGGATTTTGTGCTTTATTTATACCCGAAGAGTCCTATTGCTATAATAAGAATTTGGTTATAATAAGAATTCGGTTATCTTTGTGAATGCACATTATGCACGTATTAAAAGATAGATACAATCAGTGTTTTAAATATCGGCCGACATGTCGGACATGTCGGCCGATATATCGGATTGAGGGGTCGAGCGACACGAATCGGGAAAATATAAGTCGCATGTCGTTTTTCCGCGAAATATCGGCCATATCGGCGAAAAATCGGCTATATCGGCCGATTTGTCTTCTTGGGAAAATCGGCCGAGATTTGTGAATATCGGTTCAGGGCCTTAAGGCTTATTTATTAGGTTTGGCTTGGGTTAATTGAAACCCATTTGACCTTTTTGAACCCGATAGACACCCTATAGTCACCGGATCAAAAGAAAAAAAAGAAGAAAAACACTCGATCAAAGAAAATAGAACCCTAGGGCTCGCGATTGGGAACCAGCAGCCTCCTCTCGTCGTTTTGCTTTCGTGGTCTCAACAACATCAAAAACCCTAGGGCTTCTCCTCTCTGGCTCTCCCTCCTCCCTGCGACATTGAAATCCAAAGCTATTGATCATATCTTTCTTCACTGCGCCGTCGAGGGTCCTCACATCGTGATCTTTAGCCGTCAGGTAAGTCTCTTTGACCTCTCTCTCTCTCATGACTTTTTATGTTTACATTTTTTCAGATTTTGCTCTCTCTAACTGTTAAGTAAAGGGGGTTGTTTACCTTCTTCACGTAAGCCTCCAGACCCCCCCCCTCTCTCTCTCTCTCCTTCTATTGAGTAATGACCCAGTTTACATTTTTCTGATAACATTTTTTTTCTGTTTACATTTTTTTCCAGTCTCAGTTTGTGCGGTTTACTGTTGAGTCGCTAACTGGAGCTAACTGCTAAGTAAAAGGAATTGTTTGATTTGTTTCTCGAGTGAGCCTCGCTCTTGAATCTTTTCCCTGTCAGTCAATAAAATTTATTTTAAGTTAGTAATTGAAATTATTTAATTTGTTATATTAATAAGCTTTGAATAATGCATAGTTATGTAATTTGTCAATTTAAATATGCAAATATAATTGATTGTCTAAATCCATATATTGTTTACTTTTTTATGTCTAGTCTATAAAATTTATAAAGTATGCTTATATTGAATTTAGGAATGATATTATACATATGCGTCTACCCGATATGGCAATCCGATATTTAGTCCATGTCCCCCGATATATCCCCGATTTCCGCTATCCGACATGGATTTCAGCCGTCCGACATGAACCCGACATCCGATATTTAAAACCTTGGATACAATCATAGCACGTGCAATATGATATCTTTCTGTAATATAAACGTATTATATTATTGTTAATAAATTAATCATAATATGACTTTACACGTGCAAAGTAGATAAATTAGTTTAAACTTTTAGATAGTGTATAATATTTCAAACTTAAAAAAGTATAATATCCTTATTATATAATATCACGTATTAAGGATAGATATATTAGTTGTATTAAGGATAGATATATTAGTTTAAACTTAATTTAAAAATTATTATAATTTGATTAAGTTAGAATTTTATTAGGATTAGGATAGTTCAAACTTTGAAGTTATTTGATTAGGATTAGAATAAATCATTAAATACAATTTAAAAATTAGAATTGATTAGTCATAGGATAGTTCAAATTTTATAGATGTATTTTTGTCTACAGAAAAATTTTCCCGAACTCGTGCTTTTAAAGGGAGTATGATATGATATGATTATACATTATGATGGATAAGATTTTTGAAACATTTCAAAGATAAATTTGGCCAAATTCGTGCAATACAGCCAGGTTATATGGACCTGATAGAAAAAAGTGGATTCTTTAGGGAAGTCCTTTTTTAGTTAAAAAACCGAGCCTATCAATATTTTTGTGTGCATATTTTAACACTTACATGAAAATTGAAAAAAGTCCATTCCACATTTAATATTTAACGCATTCATTGGCTCCGTCATTAGTGTTGAGAACCATGAACAACCTCGTGCCTTGCTTCTTCTCCGTCAATTGGAAAATAAAATAAATAAAAGTATAGTAATTTTAAGATATGAATATAGATTAACCTCGTGCCATGTATTTTTTATGTATGTAACCTGGGTTAATTCGTCATCTAGAACCCTGGTACGATATATATCTTTACTGATAAGGAGTTTTGCCCTTCAAATTTTGGAATATCGTTAAACGCCCTGGCGCAGCCTCCCCGCCTAGGGAGGCGGTGCCCAGGGCGTCTCGATTAACCCTGAGCGGCCAAGCCTAGGCGCCCGCCTAGGCCGAGGCGGTGCCCAGGGCGTCTCGATTAACCCTGAGCGGCCAATTTTAGGCGCTGGGAGCGCTTACGCGGTTGCCCAGAGTTAAGCGGGCCACTTAAACAGCCCGCCCAACAAAAAAAACAGTAGCTCGGCAGAAATAAGAAGCGGGTGAAAGACAAAACCCGAAATCCAACCCAAACCCAAACTAAACCCTAACTTTTCAGTCACACCCGAGTCCCACGCCGCCACAAAATCTTGCGGAACTCGTCGAAGCTCCCCGAACTCCCCAAACACGTCGAACTCCTCATCGAAGCTCCCCAAACTCCTCGTCAAAGCTCCCTGAACTCGTCGAACTCCTCGTCGAAGCTCCCCGAACTCGTCGAAGACCTCGTCGAAGCCAATCCGAGCTCGTCTTCGATCTCGCCCTCGATCTCATCGCCGCCATTCGTCTTCGTTCTCGTCTCCGAGCTCGTCTTGGGTCTTCGATCTCATCTTCGGCACCAAATATAGTCAGCTTCGATCTCCGTAACAAAGTAAAGGGTCAGACTTCTTAAATATAAGATTAAGTTAACAATAGTTGAGTTTAACAGTACTTGAGTTTAACTGTTTAATTTTATGTTTAAGTTAATATTAAGTTAATAGTAATTTGAGTTAAATATAAGATTAATATTTAACTTAAATATAAGATTAAGTTATAAGATTAACAGACTTCTTATATTAACTTTGAGTTTAACAGACTTCTTATATTAAGTTATAAGATTAAGTTAATATTAACTTGAGTTTAACAGACTTCTTAAATATAACTTAAATACTTGCTTTGCTTAAACATACTTGCTTAAATACTTGCTTAAGTTTATTAAATGTCTATTTTTTGACTTTTGAGTTTGTCAATTTAAGTTAGTTAAAAGTAACTTGACTTAAGTTATTGTTAAATTATGTTTAAAATATTTGGTTTAAGTGTATATTTAATAATTAATACTTTAGTTTATCCCTTTATCATGATTTGATGTTAAGTATATGAATGGTTTGTTTGTTCACTTCTTGTGATTCAGAATGTCGAGTGCTCCAGCGAAGGAGTCCGGGTTCCACCACTAACCATGTACCCCCCGTGAAAGATAGAAGGAACTCAGGAGATGTTGGTTGGGAGTTTAGATTTTGTCCGGACCCAAAAAATTTGAATATTGTGCAATGCCGACTATGTGGACACAAGGTGAATGCGGGGATCCATCGATTTAAGAAGCATCTTGCCGGGCTAAGGGGGACACCAAACCATGTTTGAAGATTAATGAAAAAGATAAGCAGAGGGTGAAAGAAGTGATTGATGCTAATTCGAAGAAGAAGCAAGCTAAGGAGAGGCACACTATAGACTTAGAAGAAGAACTTCATACGACGAGGTCGTGTGATGAAGAAAAAGATGAAAATGAAATCATCTCTCCTTCCACATGGATGGATCTTCAAAGAGGTCTAGAGAGCCTACTATTAGGCCGATGGACGCTTACACCTCTAGTGATCCAGAGCTAGCGAAGATGTTGAAAGGGAAAATGGAGCAGACAGGAGTGAAGGATTCTTTCTTGAAGGAGAAGAGAGATTGAATGCATGATCAGTTTGTTTCTTGGGCATATGAAAATGCCATCCCCTTTCATGTCATCTCTACGGATTCCTTTTTGAAGGCATGCATGGCTATTGGAGACTATGGACCGAGCTACAGACCTTCCAGCATGTACATGTTGAGGGAGCCCCTATTGCGAAGAGCTGTAGAGAGAACAAAAGTCTCCTTAATGATGCATGAGGAGTGCGGCAAGACCGGATGCTCCATTATGACTGATGCTTGGTCGGAGAGAAAGATGCGATTGGTAATGAATCTTTGCATCCACTGCAGATTGGGGACAACTTTCCATAAGTTCATTAAAACCTTTGAGGAGGCACATATAGGGCAATATATATATTTAAGTGGGTTAATAAGGCTATTGAGTAGATTGGAGAGGTGATAAAGTCATTCAAGTTGTCACGAATAATGTAGCTGCAAATATGGCTGCGAAGGAGCTTTTATATAGGACGAGGCCGAGGATTTTTTGGACTAGTTGTGCAGCACATACTGTTGACATAATGCTTGAAAGCATCAGGAAGTTGAGTTTATTCAGATGAGCAATTAAGAAGGCGAGGACTCTTACCGTCTTTATCTATAGTCATCACAAGACTTTGTCTATAATGTGTCGCATTTGTGACAAAAGGGACATCGTGAGACCTGGAGTTACTCATTTCGCCACTATATTTTTGACTCTGCGGAGTCTTCTTGAGAAGAAAGGAAAGTTGAGATATATGTTCTCCGATGAAACATGGGTGAGATGCAAGCTTGCAAAGACCGCTAAAGACCAAAAGGTGGAGGCGATTGCTATGAGTGATAGTTGGTGAACGGCGGTGGGCAAGATCTTGAAGGTGTATGCTCCTATTTTTTGATTATTGCGGGTAGTCGATAGTGACTACAAACCCTCCATGGGATTTGTGGTGGGGATGCTTGAAGATATGAAGGAGATCATTCAAGTTTTCAACAAGGAGAAGGATTTCAAGCCCGTGATTGATTGATATTATAGATGGAAAGTCCAAGGATCGGCTCTTTTCTCCCTTGCATATGGCTTCTTACTACCTCAACCCTTACTATTTCTATAGGGATGATGTAGTGAAGAACTGCAAAAAGGCGAAAGATGGATTTCTAGATGTGGTGGAGTTCTATCCTGATGTAGAGCAACAAGTTAAAATTCATACTCAAGCGTTGAAGAGTTACAAAGAAGGAAAGGGTTCATTTGCTAGAATTGGAGCGGTGAAGGCTAGAGAGAAATCGGAACCCAGGTATAATAATTTAGAAATTGAATCATTTATGATTTATAAGTTATCTATTGTGTCATTGTGGTAGTGAATCAACTATTAATATATTATTTTTTGTAGCTAATTGGTGGTATTTGCATGGTGGTGATTGTCCCCTCAAGCCAAATATGGCTATGAAACTTCTCAACTTGACAAACAGCTCTTCTAGTTGTGAAAAGAATTGGAGCACATTTGAGGGGGTAAACTAGTTTCTAAACTTATGAATGAGATGAAATTCTTCTTGGTTATGCTTTCTAATTTGTGTCTTTTTCTTTTGAAGATCCATACGAAGAAGAGGAATATGTTAGAATTGAAAAGGTTAGAGGAACTTGTCTATGTGAAATTCAACTCAAAGCTCAACCAGAAGAAGAGGGGAGAAAACAAGAACCTACTGCTATTTAATGATCGTAGTAAGGCATGAGCATGGATCCTAGAAGGAGCAGCATCCGATGATGAGGAAGAAGTTCATCCGGGCTCAGGCCTTACTTGGAGGATGATAGAGGTTATAACGGGAGCGACTGAGGCTACGGAGAATATGAGGAGTTCTAGGCTAGCAGGACCTTCAAGTGCTACTTCAGGGATGGATGATAAAGAAGAGCCTCTTGTCTCAGATGATGATGTTTCGGACGAGGAGGATTGTATGGAGATGGAGTAGAGGAGGAACTTCATGATGATATTTTATGGAGAGGAAAACCATAGTTTCATGTTATTTGCATTGAAGTGCATTTTCGAGATTTTCATCATGTGCTTTTATATTACTAAATAAAGGTTTCTTATAATGGGTTTACGTTCTTGTTCCCCATCAACTGGTTAAAAACCTCTTCGCAAATGAACTGCCACCGTAAAAAACCGGACTTTCCAGCGAATAAAATGGATAGGTATTGATGTAATTTATAAGTTCAATAAAACTTCTAGAGCCAATTTATTTAGTCATCATCAATTTGAAATAAACGGTCATCTCTCCGGAAAATGAAATATTAACAGGATCATTCAATCTCTTTCGGTTGGTGTAAAGCACAGGAAAGTTTTCTTTCTTTTGAGGTTAGTCTCCTATTCTTTCATATTCTGACATCAGTCCCCATTATCTTCACCTTTTTAAATTAGCCCCCTAAATCTTGCAACCTAGTGCTAACTTGCAGAAAATCCGCTTCTCCAATGTGTACCAAAACTCGATCTAAACTCCATCCAAATACCCTGATGGCTTTTCTGCAAATATCAAGATTTGAAAGTAAATATGGGAGATTTGAGGGATATACGCACAAATAAAAACCCTAATTCAAGTTGCACAAAACTCATCGTTGATGACCGAAAATACATCATTATACCTTGTTTGTTGCCAAAGCCACTGTATAGCTTGCCTGTAATCACTTCACATCAATCAAGTAATTTCGCCTTTCAGTATTAGTCTCCCCCAGATCATTTTAATTGTTTTTTATGTCTCCCGGATCATCATTATATGTTGTTATTAGTCTCTCTAATTAGTTTGTGTTAAAGTGATTAGATAATTAATATCTTGTTTTAACGGATCATATCATTATTGTATATGGATTGAGGAAGTTTCTTGTATCATGAAATCTTCGTGATTTAACGGATTTCACGACGACACTACTACAAACTTCATCAGCCCCAACGGTTACACCAACGGTTACAACCGTTGGGGCTGCAAAAATGCTCGTTAGGGCAAGTCGCGTTGGGGCTGATTTTGCCCCAACAGTTGAAAAACTTGCCCTAACGGTTAGAACCGTTGGGGCAAGTAATTTTCATTTTTTAGTTTTAAAAAAGAAAAGAAAAACCCTTGGGGCCTTAATCAGCCCCAACGGTTACAACCGTTGGGGCAAGTATATAATTTGTAAAAAAAAATGGAACCAGCACTAAAATGATATCCCAGTGCTTGCCGAAAGAGCATCAGTGCATATGTTGCTGATGATCTGAGAATTCACCTGAAGAATGAAAGAACCAACATTGCAAGCTGAATATCAGCATTTTAAGACGCATGGCACTCACGGAATTATAATGCATGCCAAAGATTATTTCACATTACAGTTTTATAAAGTTTCCCTGATTTACCTTGCAGATAGTATCAAACCCAACATCAGCTTCAACAAACTGATTCTTCAGATCCCCATAAAATGTCACTGGAACGCCAATAACCTATGAAAAGAATTTTATATCAATGTTGTAGCTAATGATTTTCTAAGACTAAGAGGAAAAAAACAATTGTGCTGCAGGATTTTCTCCTGCTGACGAATTAACTATAACCCTCGAGAAAGTGTGAACGATGGCTTAAATTACAAAGGGAAAATGATGAGAAGACAATTAGAAGCATCAAGCACCTTTGTTGAACATTTATTTTCTGCAAATATTTCCGCAAGTTGAGTTGCATCAGTATTTGATGTTACACCTTCATAAAAGGAAAGAAACATTAGGAACTGTGGAACCGTTTGATTTAGTAAATGTAATAATTCGAGATAAACTTACCTCCGACAATCACAAGCATGCCATAACCCCCTTGACAAGTGAACCAAAAGGTAACGGAAGCCAGAAATCAATTTCTCAAAACAAAGCAAACTTATCTTCGATTTTTCATACAGGTGCTAAAAATGTTGGTTAAATAAAAAACCTTGATTGCGATAATTGGTGACAAGATCTTCTGTAATCTGTATGGCCTTTTGTGCAAATAAACCTTCAGTCCCTCCTGTTACATGATACATGAAGCCTGTGAATTACTATTTATTTACAATACCTGAACGAACGAGTTAAGAATAATGAGCGAAAGCTACATATAGCTCATATGTCACTCGGTAAATGCATATAGATAGCTATCAAAGTGGTATAGAAAGTAACTTCAAGCATATTCGTTTGCTACACATCCGGTACATCAATGCATTGCTGAAAACTTTTGACATATGAATGAACGTTTGTATCGGCATTTATATGTGAGAAGCAATTTTCCATAAATCAATTAGCAGGATGTGCTGATTTTTACAGTTCTAACAGCGCATCGTTGATACGGGCTAGTAAAACTACCTCAACCACTACCAGTGAATTACTATTTATTTACAATACTCTGATATTACTGGGAAGTCAAAGAGCAGAACAAGGATAGCAAAGAAAATCTTTAATCATTGAAGTATGAGCAAGTCTCAAATATAGCATTAAGAATAAAACTGAACTTAGTTTGGATTTATCTTCAAATAATGAAACTTAGCCACGCAAAAGAATTATACAGATGAGTACCAAGGGATCATTGTCATCTTCAACACTCCATGTAGGCCTGTCCCAAAAACTAGAAGGTTCTTCATACTGTCCCAGCGAACGATGCAGACATATGTTGATCAATAATTGTTGCTCCCTGAGGAAATAAAATGACAATTTTTTAACTTTTAGACTAATCATAAAAATACAAGCTTATTGGCGGCTGAAATATGAATTTATGAGGCCAGGTTTGATCATAACGTGAACTGTTCATTATATTGAACAAATAAGTGATTCACTGATTGCATAAGGCAACCAAGCCCGTTTAACAAAACCATGAATTACAGCTGACACTAAGTAAAAGTTCAGAAGATTGTTTAGAATAGCCAATAGTGTTAGCGACAATTGCTTGGTTCACTAAATAAAATCTTCAATCCCTGACAGAAGGAAAGGCAAAGCCAACTGATGAAAAGCTAAATTAGCAGCAAATATCCCTTATGAAACAAAGTGATAATGTGAAACATGAGAGGCAGAATCAATATCTTCACAAATCAAATTCAACATGCTTCTTACATCAAAATGGCGATTGAATAAACCAGATGCTCTAAAACTTAAGATTAAACATTGAAATCTCGAAATTTCTGAACTCGTTACTCAATAGAAAACCAAATTAACACTTTGTAATTGGGAAATTGTCAGAATCAACAGTCAGACAGATGTCGTTTTTCCCATGATTACAAACCAAGGTATTTTACCTGGGGAAAAATAGATAAATCTTATCTGTATATAGACAAAGGAAAATTGACCTTGGAGAAATAAAGAAACATAAAAAGGAAATGAAACTAGTACACTCGATACCGTATTATGGTGCCTGGATGAGAATAGGTTGCGATACCGTATTATGGTGCCTGAATGAGAATAGGTACAGTGCTTCTGAAACATAGATGGTATTATTCTCAAACAAGTGTGAGAAAACTCACAGCTACCATGTTGCCTGGAAGAAATGGGTCCCTCCCAAGACCTGGACCAACCACGAAGCAATCAAATCTTTCCATCCACTTAGACACTTCAGCAAGGACCCTTTTAGCAACTGATGCCTTCTCATCATCCCTAAGAAAGAAATACATAATCAATCTGTACGTCAAGCTGAGAAGAACATTGAGTAAACCTTTAGATTACCTTACACTGTATGATTCTTCCAGCACAGGATGGACAATCAACTCAGGACTGTAGCCTTTTACCACCGGTGAAGCATCTTTTGTACAGAAAACATGTGATAAATCTGCACCCTGTGCAAGAAAGGCAGAATTCTACAGAAAACATGTGATAAATCTGCACCCTGTGCAAGAAAGGCAGAATTCTTAAAATTCAACATAGACCAAGATATGAATATCTTTTAAGTATACACCCTGTGCAAGAAAGGCAGAATTCTTAAAATTCAACATAGACCAAGATATGAATATCTTTTAAGTATATATTTGAGTCAAAAGGAATCAACAATTAACTCAAGGGCATAAAAAACAACAGAAGAATCAACAATTAACTCAAGGGCATAAAAAACAACAGAAAAGGACAACAACACAGTACTTAAAGAATTAGTTCCGGTTTCTGAAATAGGATGAACACCATCTAATCGCTAACCAAAAGCCACTGATCCATCTGGGTCTCATAGGCTTCAATGTTCGATTTACTGATTCACATAAAAAGGAAAGGTTATAAAATTTTAATTGCAAATTAGCTAATTCATCATATCTTCCCTCCAAAGACTTTTTTTTTGGTTCACCTTGCTCCAAACTCACTCGCTAGCTTATTAAAGGTCTAAGCATAAATTTTGGGATTATGCAGCCTGCAGATCAGTACCAACAACCAACCTATCATAATGCTTAAACTTTGAAAATTTACGAAACAATTAAGCCACACAAAGCTGCAGTATTGCACACATCATCGATTACTGGTACAAAAGGTATAAAACTAAAGATCTAACAACAGTGAATTCAAAGGGCCAACACTAACACTAAATAAGAGAGGAAAAGTAGAAAACATGCAATCCTTGCAGGGGGGAACACAAATTTGGACAAAAAGAATGCTCACATATATGTCATTAATATCCAAACCCTAGAATTGAACAACAATATTTAACCCGTAACCTTAAACCCCAGGCTTTAGAATCATCGTTTACTATTTGATTCAATACATGACAAGAAAACAGTAATTAACAAAATTGAATCAAGGGCGTCGAAATTTATTAAAGAATCAAGAATTAATCCATGGGTACTCCAAAAAAGTAACAAAATTGGCAGAATCTAGCAACACATTCAAATCAAACGCTCTAAAAATACAAGAAATAAGTGATATCAAGATTAGGGTTTTTTATTCGAACCTAAAAGACACAACCGGTCCAACATCCTTCCAAATCTCAATCATTTTCTCCTCGGTGAAGCCGTAGGGTATATTTCCAACTGCAACAAGGAAACAAAACCCAAAAAAAGCATAAATTTGAAACCTAATATCTATCGAAGCAGAAAAAGATGGGTTTTTTCCAGAAACTCACCGAATACAGAGCAGCGGGATGAGCCGACGTTGGAAGCCATGTCAAGATTCGAACCTTGAGAGAAGAATTAGGGCAAATCAAAACCCTAGCGAGAGCAAAGAGAGCGAATTAATCAAAGAGAGCCAGCGACGAACTTCAGGTCTCGACGCGGTAGCCGCGCGAAACACTCTCGCACGGTAGCGCGAACTCTCGACGGCCAGCGTCGAACTCTCAAACAGCCAGCGTGCGAACGCCGCGGCAGCGAACTCCGATTTGGGGCCAATTTTTTATGAGATAGAGCCAGGGAGATATATAGAGAGAGAGAGAGAACGGAGGTTTAATTTGGGGGGAATTCTGGCTTTTTCCCTTTTTTCGCGAAAATAAATGGGGGGGATTTCCCTCCGCCGGGTGTAGACTAAATCAACTTGCCCCAACGGTTACAACCGTTGGGGCAAGTTTCAACAGCCCCAACGGTTGTATACACCCGTTGGGGCTGGCCTTCTTTGTACTAGTGAATTCATGAACAAGCGCAATCGATTCCTTTAGCCGTCTCTCCGATCCAATATTTACCAATCTCTTTACCATTCGAGAGGAAAAGGGAGTCTTCATTCCTCTTTCGGTGATAATCTTCGTTGCTTCACCAAACGCACGGTAAAACCTGTCACTTCCCCTCTCGCGAAGGCAATTATCAGGTTCCATACCCAGAGCAAGGTTGCATATGTTGTCAAATGCAAAGCGTTCAAGCACGTCCTGGAGATCAAGAACTTGACCATAGTCACTGGCCTTTCTCAATAAAGGGATGAGCCTAGCATCAATTTCGTGATGGACATGGACATTATCGAATACGATAGTACGTACGGAGGGACTTAGGTTTGAACTCGTAGCTCACCATCCAGCGCTGGAGTTTCCATTTGTCTCCATTGACGTTGAGGATCTCATGACCTACATTGAGAAGCTAGAACGAAATAGGATCCTAGGAGAAAAGTATTCTTTAGTGTGAGCGGAAGTCTTAAAAAGACGCTGATCAGCTCAACCTCCATCGACTGAAGCCCTAGCCGTCTCATCTCCATGTCGACGATGAAATGGGCCTCGGCGGTTCCATCACCAGCATCAGGCGAGCTCCCTTTGGTCGTCGCGTTGCAATCAGCTTGAAAAGACGTCATCTTGGGATCCAGGCTACAAGCAATTAAGCAAGCAGAGGCATTTGATCGAAGGTTGATGATAATGGTGCTAGGGTTCTTGTTCAATGAGTTGGAGGTTGAGTTGATCATGAAGTCAATGGATGCATCAATTCTTGGAGTACGCAAACTGGGTTTTATGTGAGCACATCAGGTAAATTTACTCTCTTTTTATAATAATAATAATGATGATAATAATTATTATTATTATTTTTGATGAGTTCCATTTTTATAGCTTTTTGTAAGTTATATTTATACATGTGACATTGTTAATACCTAAGAAAAATATACTTTTGACAAGTGCCCCTGTCTAGCACATTTGATACGAAAAAATTACATTACATTACATAAGTTCGTAATAATGCCCTTATGTTTATCCTTTGTCGCTCCGTTGTGACATGTAGCCATGGAAGAAATGCAGCCTCCCCTTCCATCAATAAAAAGGCAGAAATCTCCAAGATCATGAACCGGGTCCCACTGGCAAGTCGCAAAGTTTAGCATGTACAGATCAATTCTCGTGGAAGGGTGATGATGAGGAGCTTCATCTTCAACAGAGATGAATCAGAAGAGGATAAGATTGTCATTGCAGTCAACTAGACTTTCCTCAAAACCAGGGAAAGCTAGTGCCGGAGTAATTGGACACGAATCTGTTCAAAGGTCAAAGAACGGGGAGCTGCATCTTCAGACTCAAGAAGATCTTTGAACTGAAGCATGAAAACTCCGCCATTTGAGAGCAAACCGTATACGGTGTCCTGGTATAAGGTCAGAGAGTGAAACTCTGCAGGAGGGATGAGAGAAGGCCGAAGAGTCGACCATACTTCGGTGTCAATTTCCCAGGACAAGATTTCAGTGCGTCCTCTGTAACGGCCAACCAAAATGAGGGTGGACGAAGGGGATGATGGTCTACTGGTCAAGATTCCAATGTCGAACTTGGGATACTCTGCCTCCAATCCGAATATGCAGCTCCCCGTTCTTTGACCTTTGAACAGATTCATGTCCAATTACCTAAGGGCACTCCGACACTAGCTTTCCCTGGTCTTGGGGGAAGTCTAGTTGACTGCAATGACAGTCTTATCCTCGCCCGATTCGTCTCTGTTGAAGATGAAGATCCTCATCATCACCCTTCCACTAGAATTGATTTGTACATGCTAAACTTTGCAACTCGCCAGTGGGACCCAGTTCATGATCTTGGAGATTTCTACCTTTTTATTGATGGAAGGGGAGGCTGCATTTCTTCCATGGCTACAGATCACAACGGAAAGACAAAGGATAAACATAAGGGCATTATTACGAACTTATGTAATGCAATGTAATTTTTTCGTATCATATGTGCTAGACAGGGACACTTGTAAGAAGTATATTTTTCTTAGGTATTAACAAGGTCACATGTATAAATATAACTTACAAAAAGCTATAAAAATAAAGCTCATAAAATAAATAAATATATTATTATTATTATTATTATTATTATTATTAAAAGATAGTAAATTTACCTGATGTGCTCACATAAAACTCAGTTTGTGTACTCCAAGAATTGATGCATCCATTGACTTCATGATCAACTCAACCTCCAACTCCTTGAACAAGAACCCTAGCACCGTTATCAGCAACCTTTGGTCAAATGTCTCTGCTTGCTTAATTGCTTGCAGCCCGGATCCCAAGATGACGTATTTTCAAGCCGATTGCAACATGACGGCCAAAGGGAGCTCGCGTGATGCTGGTGATGGAACCATCGTCGACATGGAGATGAGGCGGCTAGGGCTCCGGTCGATGGAGGTTGAACTGATCAGCCACAATAAAAATTACTTTTCTCCTCGGATCCTGTTTTAATTCTAGCTTCTGTTGTTAGAGATCGTTGACGATTTCTCCGACTCCATTTCTTCAGAGGGGAGAAATTAGGGTTAGGGTTTCAGGCGCTATCAGAACATTAGTCCACAAGAGTTCAAATCAGAGGGAGAGAACCTGAGGATGAGGAGTAAAAATTAGGGTTAGTTTTGATTTCAGTGGTAAGAATCACAAATGGAGATGGGAATTGGGGATTTTTGTGATTTTTTTTAGGAAACGGCGAAGAATTTTCAAGAGGGCGGGCTAGTGAAATTACATTGCGAAAGGGCGGTGGCAGACGTTAACGGGTTGTGTCGGATTCGGGTGATTTCCCTGAGGCCCGTTGAATAACCTCATTAAGACCCACTTTCAAATTTTGGTAAACTATACGGTACTTAAGTGCAAAAATATTTAAGCACGTGTGCAGTGAAAGCCTCTGATAGAATGAACTCGACAAATTCTAGTGCATTGGTAAACAGAGAACCACTAAATCAAGTGTCCAATGGTGGAAAACTTGCATCCTTGTACTACCAAAAATACCTACCCAATTCATATTATGAAATTAGCCCCCCAAGTGTTATAAGTGATTTGCAATAAGTCCTTTCATGACGTTTATCATCTGTAGTTATGAGTTGGGTTAGTGGTTAATGATGAAAAGGAAATGATCAAATTACCCTCATGGAATATATATTTCCACCGAGTTTATCTTCCTCTCATTTCCCGCTTCAATTTATGAGAAACGGGAGACTTTTAAAATCAACACCCGAATCAATCATAATCAAACACCATGTAAAAGAGGGTTTAAGTGCACACAAAAAAACGTTAAAGATGATGGGATGTTTCTTTCAATTTCAACCAGCCTCTTAAGTAGGAGAACTAATCTCCAAACACTCGACAGATATTAAAATCAAATCTCAAAATATGAAGATTTGAGATGCTGAAAATCTTTAAGGTTGATATCGAAAAAAACGAATCTAAAACGAGTCAAAACTTGATTGGATTTTAGACATATATATTCTTTATCGATTATCAAGAAAAACGAAGTTATCTTCTCTTTTCATAAGAATATTTAGAAATGGACCTCTAAAATGACATGGATCTTAGGAATTTGTTACTCTTTCATTTTTTGATAATCGATAAAGAACAATTCATTTCTATTATGCGGAAAAAAAACTTATAAATATTTATGAGCTATTGCTTGTCCAGAGGATCAAGAGAGGATTTTGTTGGGGGCAATAATAAAATCAAGCGTTCTCCTTTTTATTGCCAATGAAATAAAATGAAAGGCAAATAAGATCAAAACGCTTAAGAAGGAGCTCCAATCTTTTATAAGAGAATAACTTTACTTGAAGATCTAGAAATAATTTTTCTTCATCGAGTAATACATGATTCACTTTGCTAAAACAACATATTAATTTTTGTTTACAGTAAAATTTAAGAAAAACTTCTCTATGAGCGATGGCGGCGGCTAGGAGCGAGCGAGGAGAGACCACAAAAAACTATGCAGGCAAAGAGATCCCGAGGGACAATGTTGGCCAGGTATGTCCTCCTTCCCAGCGTGGCATTCTCACCTCTTCCCCACGCCGTCAGGTTGTGCTCGATTCTCAAAAAGGGTATGTCATTTCCAAGCTTTGTAAGAGTTTTCAGCCGCCGTTGTCAGAGGTGGAACCAAAGCATCATCATCCATCTTTTCATTTCAATCGGCCTTTCAATTCCCTTTTTGGGCCAAATCAGCCTCCTAAAAAAGTCCCTATTTTCTCCTCCTTCACTGAATATCAGAAAAGTCTTCAAGTTCCTCCTCCTGCTATAGTTCAAGATCAAGGGTGGATCATTGTATCAAGGAAGAAAAAACACCGTACTATGAATAGTTAATATCTCAGGCACCCTTTTCCTTCTGATTATATGGACCCTAAGCAGCCTCGTCGTTGCTTCAATTGCGGGGATTCTCGTCATTCTATCAAATTCTGCCCTAAAGGAGCATTCTTGTGCTTCAAATGCAATGAGGAGGGTCATGTGGCCAAAAATTGTAGAGCCTTCCTTCGACCTCAGGAAACGAAGGTAGATTTATCAGATTCTGCCACTTTATGTAGTAATGCCAAAGTCCTAGCTTCATTTGCTATTCTGACCATCTCTGAAGGTTCGCCTTCTTTAGAATTAA